ATGTATAGGGATGCATTGTGTGTGTGTGTGTGTGTGTGTGTGCATGTAGTGCGAAAGAGCTCCCTGTCTTGCCCCCTGTCCTATAGAGCTGTCCCTTAGAGCTCTCCCCTGCCCCTTATTGGTCTCTCTTCCCCTAGCGGTCTCTTCTCACACTCACCCACCCTCCCTGTGCTCTTCTCATCCCCCCTCCACCCTCCTTGTGTTCTCATTCCCCCTCCCCTCTCCATGTGTTCTCCTCACCCCCTGTGTTCTTCTCACTCCCCCCCACCTTTGTTCTTCTCACCTCCCCCCTCCCTGTGTTCTTCTCACCACCTACCCTCCCTGTGTTCTTCTCAGCCTCCCTGTTCTCCTCATCTCCCCTTCTCCTCACCCTTACTCTCCTCCCCTTGTGTTCTTCTTACTCTCCCCCCTCTCTGTGTTCTTTTTTGCCCCCCCTCCCTGTGTTTTTCTTACTTCCCCCTTGTTCTTCTTGCCCTCTGTTCTTCCCTACTCTCCCCCTGTTCTTCTTACTCCCCCCTTACTCCTCCTGTTCTTCTTACCACCCTTCTTCTTCTTACCCACCCCTTCTTCTTCACCTCCACCTCTTCTTCTTCTTACCCCCCCTCTTCTTCTTCTTACTCCCCTTCTTCTTTCTTACCCCCTCTTCTTCTTACCCCTTCTTCTTCTTCCCCTCTTCTTCTTACCCCCTTTTTTCTTTTACCCCTTCTTACTCCTCCCCCCCCCTCACCTCCCCTTCCCTGTAGCGTGGCCGAGCCCCTCTCCGGTCCGCAGTACCCGGCCGGAGTTATAGGAAGGTGCACAGTGCACTTCCTGTCAGTCCGGCAGGGTACAAGAAACAGAAATTCCTGTACCGCGCAGAATTTCTGTTTCCTGAGTGTACACCTTCCTATCACTTCGTCAGGGCACCGCGGACCGGAGAGGAGCTCGGCCACGCTACAGGGAATAGTACAATTTACCTCCACTGCACCATCAGTGACAGAGTCACTTTAACTTAATTAAATTAATGATATCTTCTAGACCAGCGGTTCCCAAAGTGTGGGTCACGACCCACTGGTGGGTCGCAGGGCGATTCCCAGTGGGTCGCGCTGACCCACACATCCAGGGCCACCGACTAGTCAGGCAGACTGATTAGTCGGGCTCTCAGTCCGTGACCGCGGGCCCGACACCCAGATGGGGCCAGGTGGCTTGCCCTGTATGCCGCCGGGCTCCTTCCAATCAGTCTGCCCTGCACCTCCGGTATGCAGCTCCGCCGGGTGCAGAGCTGCAGACCGTGTGAAAACGTCTAGCGAGCTCCCAGAGCGTCACCGTGGCAACACTCTGGGAGCTTGCGAGACTTTTATTACACTGTCTGCAGCTCTGCACCCGGCGGAGCTCAGACCGGAGACCCACCGGACCACCAGGGAGGACACTGGACCACCAGGGATGTTTCATGAAGGTAGGGCACAGAGCCCAAACAATGCCCCCCCACCCCAATGTAACCCCTTCTCTGCCTACCCTCCCCACTGTAACCCCTTCTCTGCCTACACCCCCACTGTAACCCCTTCTCTGCCTACCCTCCCCACTGTAACCCCTTCTCTCCCTGCCCCTCTCCCCCCACTGCTTGGCAGCTACTCTGCCTGCACCCACCCATGACCTTCTCTGCCTACCCCCACCATGGCTTATGCTCTGCCTACCCTGCCACTGCCCGGCTTGCTTCTCTCCTGCCCCTCACTTGTATCCCTTCTCTGCCTACCCTCCCCCACTGTAACCTTCTCTGCCTGCCCCCACTGTTGGCCCTTCTCTGCCTGCCCCCATTTGTGGCCCTTCTCTCCTGCCCCTCTCCCCACACTGTAACCTTTCTCCCCCCCTGCCCCCCCACACTGCCTTTTCTCCCCTGCCTGCCTACTGTAACCCTTTCTCCCCCTGCCCGCCCACTGTAACTCTTTCTCCCCCTGCCCACCCACTATAACCCTTTCTCACACTGCCCCCCACACTGTTACCAGTACACACACTCCCTCCCACACTGTCACCCTCACCTCCTGTCTCTGCATGTCCTTTTGTGTCAGTGTGTGTCTGTCTGTGTGTATCTCTGTACGTGAGTGTCTGTGTATCTGTGTGTGGGAAACTAAGTGTCATTGTGTGTATCACTGTGTGTATTTGTGTGTGTGTGTGTGTATACACTGCAGACATACTCCATACAAAAAAACATACTTACATTGAAACACACATTGTGTATATGTATATTTTATAAACACAATATACACACACTCATCCACTACACACACACACACTGCAATCAAACGCAAACATTACATACAAACACACCCCTGCATTAAAACACTAAAATGATCTACAAACACCCCTTCATTCAAACACCAACACTACACACAAAAAGCACACCTGCATTTAAAGTTTTACACTACATATACAAACACCCCTGCATTCAGTCGCAAACATTACAAACAAGTACACCACTACATTCCAATAGCAACAGTACATACAAATACACCCATACATGCACACATATATTTAATACAAAAACATGATTACATTCAAACACTGCTCACAAATATAACCCTGCAATGATGTGCAAATGGTAGATCTCCATCTGGCATAGCATTGTTGAAGTTCACCGACAGATGGAGATCTACCTTTTGGCCACACTTACACTAGATGGGGGCCCAGAAAACATACTTGCACCAGGGTCCTCTCTACATTGGGATAATCAATGTGAGGTGCCTGGATGAAAGAGCAGGACAACAGCATTTCTGATTCTGAGTCTGTGATCAAGCACAGTTTCTGCCTCTAAAAATGCCATGATATATAAAAATTATGCCTCTAAACTGCCATGTTATGCCAATTTTATGCATCTAAAGCTGATTGCCATGGTGTGCCAATTTTATGCATCTGACTGTTTGCCATGGTGTGCCAATTGTATGCTTCTGAAGCGGATTACCATGATGTGCCAAGTTTATGCATCTAAAAGTGATTACCATGATGTGCCAAGTTTATGCACCTAAAAGTGATTGCCATGATATGCTAAGTTTATGCATCTAAAGCTGCCATGATGTTCCAATTGTATGCCTCTAAAACTGATTGCCATGATGTACCAATTTTATGCATCTAAAGCTGATTGCCATGGTATGCCAATTGTATGCATCTAAAGCGGATTGCCATGGTGTGCCAATTGTATGCCTCTAAAGCTGATTGCCATGGTGTGCCAATTGTATGCATCTAAAGCGGATTGCTATAGTTTGCCAATTGTATGCCTCTAAAGCAGTTTGCCATGGTGTGCCAATTGTATACCTCTGAAGCTGATTGCCATGGTGTTCACTTTTTAAAATACGCATTAAAAGCAAGTGGGTCTCGAAAAATTACCGTTTTGAAAAGTGGGTCTCGGCCCATAAAAGTTTGGGAAGACACACACTACACTACCTACACATGTCATTACTGACAGGGCAATGTTAACAGCATTAGAGGCACATGGGCAAAGCAGTGCACTGTGGCCCTGTCTACACTGCCACTCACAGTATCAATAAAATTAAGCTTATATTTATTGTTACCTCCAACAAAATCAGTGTTTAAACAAAAAAGGATGCTGTGTAGCAGAGATGAATCCACCCAAACATTTGGACAATAAATCATGAGCCTTGAAGTTTAAAAGCAAGAAATTCAACTTAAAAATGGTGCTCAGTTGGCAGATCATACAGACGGATATGACACAGTACGAAATTACCATGAATTCTTTATTATTAATCAAGTGTTCAACACAAACATTTGCATAATTTCTTTGCAGAGAATTGTTTTATAATTGGCCTGTACAGATAACAGCGGATAATGAGGTTATTAGTCTACCTAAACATTTTTACTAAAAAGGGTTTGAAGGTTCTGCGTAGATCTCCTGGAATAATATACTGAGAGGTTGGCAAACCTATGGGGGGCCGTAACTGCCAGTATTTCCATGTGTTAAAGAACCACTCTAGGCACCCAGACCACTCCAGCTTAATGAAGTGGTCTGGGTGCCAGGTCCCTCTAGGATTAACCCTTTTTTTTTTAATAAACATAGCAGTTTCAGAGAAACTGCTATGTTTATAAATGGGTTAATCCAGCCTCTAAAGCCTCTAGTGGCTGTCTCATTGAAAATCACACCAGCGTCCATAGGAAAGCATTGAGAAGACGCCAGCATCCATAGGAAAGCATTATGAATGCTTTCCTATGAGACAGGCTGAATGCGCGCGCAGCTCCTGCCGCGCATGCGCATTCAGCCGGAGAGGAGGAGAGCTCCCCGTCCGGCGCTGGAAAAAAGGTAAGTTTAACCTCTTTCCTTGCCATCCAGCCCGGTGAAGTGGGCCTCAGGGCACTATAGTGCCAAGAAAACGAGTATGTTTTCCTGGCACTATAGTGGTCCTTTAAGATGGCTCTGATTACAGGTCACCAAAAATTGTGGGGGTTAACTACAGTGGAGCTTCCTGATGCTGGGATTCATAAAGCACTGTGTATTTTCAGCTGTAGAGCTTTGTGATATATTACCACATATAATACTGCATGTTTTTATTGTGGAGGAGCTCTGTGACACACTCATACACTCTGCATATCACTGCTGGTCTCCCAGTGGCATGCTCAGTGTGTTTTGAGGCAGGGCATGCCGGTAGTTGTAGTTCCAGGTTTCAAGTCACATGTCCGAGATCCCGCGGGATACAGAGCCCCGCGTGCCATGTGTCGCCTCTCTCCAGCACAATTCCATAGCATTCTATATTCCGGCAAAGGGGGGCGGGGCGGCATGGCTCGCCTCGCCGGGCAGTCACGTGACACACACTGTGTAAATCCCTTCCCAGGCTGGGAGTCAGCACAGACTTTCCCTCCTGCAGGGTAGCAGACCATGCAGAGAAACGTGGAGCTGGCCCCAGCACTCTAATACACAACAAGTCCTGCTCTATGAACAGCCCACACTGCGAGACACTCAATAACCCTTCCCATTAAGGAGTAGTGCGAGCCCTGCGCGGAGTCCCGGCGCTGCTGTCATGGAGTACTTACTGCAAGTGAAGCTGGGCTGCCTGTTCGGGCTCCTGCTGCTCACTCTGTTATTTGGGTTAGGCCCCTCCACACTGAAATGCTTCCGAAACGCAGCCGGGAGGGGTAAGTTCTTAAAATAAGAAGAATGTAATCAAACTATCAACTAGTTATGTTAGAATAATTTTAAGAATTTGGGTGTTTTTTGTTTTTTGTTTTTTTTATCTTGTTTAGTAGAAACTGGCACTAGTGTACAGTAGTTATTAATAAACTAATATCTGTGTTCTGTCCTGATACTTTGTTCAGTTCACTATAATCACTGTTTTCTCGGAATGTCTGGGGTCAGGTTTTTGTACATTCACATACCAAGCTACATCATATGCTCTGACAATTTTTGTGTAGATTCAGTCATCTGATATGTGGAACAATGCTCTCTTATCCCATACATGGAAAGACTGCCAGTATGCAACTTTCCTGACCTAATTCTTGTCACAAAGTAGTTATATTATGTTCAGCATTTTAGATATGCTGGCACTTAATATATAGTGTCATTTATTTTGTAGCCATTTCTGCAACACTTTTGCACATGTAAAGAGCTTGCAATCTAAACTGTACTCTAACTAAAAGTGGTATATTAAATTTTTAAAAAAAAAAAAAAAAAAGGTTAAGATTTAAGTTTACTATAGATGTAGAATCAAGGTTATTCACTAAACTTTGAATTGTAACGTACTACATTCTGAATGGTAAATGTGAGTCTAAAATAGATTAACTGTGATTGATTTATAGCTGAGCTGGGAAATATTTCATAATCTGTTATGTTAGCCTAAATTTTGTTTGGATTTTAAATTTGCTTCATTTTTGGATTTGGGTGTATTGATGCAAATTAAAAGTGAAATTCAAGCCAAAAATAACAGTTGTATCTATGAAATTGATGGAATCGTAAAAAAGCCTTTTTTAGAGAAGAGTTTTGAAGGGAGTATATGAAGATAGATCACAAGGTACTGAGTAAGTAGATGAAGCACGTACTATTTAAAAAAAAAAAAAAAAAGCCCTAAACTTTGTTCAGAAGTAGATTATCTAGAGATGAGAAAAGCCTTATCTTAGCATTTTGTATAATATTTTTTTTTTTGTGTCACATGGTTGTTGGGAAGACGGCAATAGTCACGATAGGAGATAATGTGGAAGTTAACTGTTTGAATTTTTTTTTTTTTTTGAGTATAGTATCGTTGACAGAACACAAGGATGTTTTGTTTTTTTTCTTCAGTATCCAACTAAGATCCTAATCATTACCCCAGTTGTTATGATTATGTTGGCAGGAGTCCCTCGATGCTGTCTTACATTACGTAGTCAAATTATTTTATACTTACCTGGGTCCAGCCTCCTTTTATAGGTTATTTAAAAAAAAAATTTTAAAAAAAAAATAATAAAAAAAAATAAAAAAATTCAGTGCTTGTATAAACTGATTACAGTCCAAAGGCAGCTCAATCACCAAGTATGGGGTCCTATCCGATAGAAAGCTGGGTAAAATAAGAGGTAGGTGTAGCGCCTAGATTGTCCTTGTGGTGGTATATGCAACAACAAAAAGAAGAAACAGAAGGAACCAATAGTGTAATATGTAAAAACTATTTAGAATATTGGTGAAGTAATAATGTGCACTCACACTTTTGTGGAGCTTCAATTCAGCTCCAACTTGTATGTCTGGGTGGATTAATCCTTGCCTAAGGATAATGTTGATTCTTCGCATAGAATCAGCACTGCACTATATCCTTTGGCTGGGATTATTCTGCCCAGGCAGGCAAATTGGAGTACATATTACACTATTGACTACACATTTTCTGTTTCAAATTAGATGTATGTGTGTATAGATTTGTAGCTGTATTAGTCCAGTGATGAATGGTGTCTATTTTCTATAAAACCTGTGTCTTATCTGCACTCATGTCGCTTTAACCCCTGTATCACAACTCAACTTTGAATTCTATGTGTCGTCTTGCTCAGAAATGCTTCAGACTTGAGAAAGGGAAGTTCTCCCGAAAGCTTGTCATTAAAAAATTGTTAGTCCAATAAAAAAAAGGTATTACAAGATATGAATTTTATATGTTTTTATTGTGTGTGTGTGTGTGTGTGTGTGTGTGTATATATATATATATATATATATATATATATATATATATATATATATATATATATATATATATATATATATATATATATATATATACACTTTAACTCAACTGGCCAGTTATTTATTTATTTATTTTTTTTTAATACAACCTTTTGAATTGTGCATTACCTATTTAAAAAAAAAAAAAAAGAAGGGCTGCTTTCCTGCTGGGGAGTCTGATGTGCGTTTCACCCCTATGCTGAACTCATCAGGAGGACTCCTGAGAAATTTGACCGGCAAGTGAAGCGAAACGTGCACCAAATTTAGACTGAGAGAACAGCCCTTGGTGTTTAACATGGTTTTTTTTTTTTTTTTTTAAAGTATACAATTCACAAGCTCTAATTTAAAACACTTTGACTGGTCCACCTGATAGTCAATAATGACTCTGACCAGCAGAGGTAAAGATTTAGCCATTAGACTCTTTTTGGGACTGAACAAATGTGACGTTTTAACATTCATTTTAATAAGACAAATGGTTTTCCCCTTAATATTACCATATCTAAAATGGGGGGAGAGGAGGGTCAGACTAGAAGCACCTCAGGAGACCAGGTAAGTGTCAAAGCACTTGAAAGCTATTTGACATCTTTTAGGATCATGTCAGTTATGGCACGATAACAACCACAACATCAAGATTTGGTTGTTATGTGGATGAAATGTAAGGAGCGACCAGCCATGAAACCAAGCACATTATCAGATAAGAGGGAGAGGTGTACCAGCTCATTAATCACAGTTGTGAAAGATCTTTGTCTCTTCTGACATTCAACTGTGCACAACTTAAGTGTTAGTAATATCCTGCGTTGCTTTCTTTACATAGTTTGTGTTAGTACTACACACGTGTTGTTGGAGGTAATGACATTCTTTCCAAATAATTGGCAGTACACCAAATGGCCAAATACACAGCTTGTCATATCATGAAACATTCAGATACTCAGAAAGCATTGCACGGCTAATTCAAAACTGCTTCACAAAAGGTCCAATGATTACAACACTAGAGATTTGGTTCTACAACCCTGTAAAACAAGCATACAAATAGGATAAAGCCGTTCAGGCTGAAAAGCTCTGGATTGTACTGTAAGTACACGGAACGATTGGAAAAGTAACAATTCAAATTGGGGAAAAAAAAGCCTGTTCGAAAATGTAATTAAATTGCATACCTGTTTGTGTCCTGTAACCTTTTGTTCTGCAAATAAGAAATGCACAGGTTAGTTTTGTACAGACATCCTTTAGTATTCCTTTGTGTCTTTAGTGCAACTCACTTCAACCTATGCCATTCAGTTATCAAAAGGAAAACAATCTCAGGCACTCACTGTGATGATTTCAGGCAGATTTGTGAGTGCCTGAGATTTCTTTCCTTTTGATATCTGTTTTATGAGGTATGCTGACCCATACTCAGTCAGCACCCTGTGGTTTATTTGATTGAGTGCAACTTTTTTTTTTTTTTTTTTGATCCAGTCTAACAGTGTCAGTAATGTAGCCCATCCCTTAAACATCTGGCCTTTTAAACCTTGCCACTGAAATTTGATCTTGAAAATTCAAATTTATGGAATCCATGTATTAGACCAGGGTTAGACTACATCTCCCCTAATGCTTTGCCACCATTATGGTTGTAAGTGCTTTGTGAGTGCTGAAGGTGGCCTATCCCTGAAATAGACCATAGTTGAGACTTAATGTACCCTTTGTACAACGCTACGGAATCTGATGGCGCTATATAAATAACAAAATAATAATAATGGGACATTGTAACTGCTTTGGCACATGTAGTGTTGGTGTCTAGAGTACCCTAGCTCCATCTTCCCATTCAGTGTTAAACCATTTTTAGGGTGTTTAATGTGAAAAGCAGCTCATGTGTGGTGATGGCGCAAATGAGACATCATTAAGCGGCTGTGTTTCCCTGAGAGTGTCAGCTGACCACTCTGTCTCACAGTGCTATTGCTGGTATTTGTTTTGGCTAGAAGGAATTGTGCAATTTCTATTTTAGCCCTTCTGCCAGTGGGAGCTGGGCAGTGGGTGGCCAGGGAGCCTTATTTAATGTTAAACCGCTCAAGAATGTTCTAACACTGTATGGAGAGACAGTACCTGGGTACTTCAGGCATTGTAGACAATTCAATTTAATTACATGGTTAGTGCCTATAGTGGTCTTTAAAACTCATGATGCAAAGATAGTTGTCACATATGACTTGGTTATACAGGTTGACAAAATAGTTTATTGACTGAATTAGCTTTGCCTATTGAAGGATCTGAGAATTTTTTTTTTTCCAGATTGTCTTTGTGCTTAATCTTGAAGTTTAGTAAATAAACCTCTATATATACTTACTTTTTTTTAATTTATTTTTTCTTAAATCTCAATCTATACATGGTTATACACAGAATAAAATGTTTGTGCCAAGTACCCATGGAAAACAATGACTGACTAATCCCAGCCAAAGACATAGTTTGTCTCTGCAGTTCCAACCGCCCAGACAATGAATGAAGCCTTATGATCACAGTCTATAAACCTCATACATTGTGCTGGTAAATGTTGGCATTGTGGGAAATACTAAGCTTCCTAGGGTCCTTGTTGCTCAGTAAGACTCTCTAATTTAGTATTTGGTAGAAATATATATCTTGCCTGTCTGGTAGTTTATTAATGGTGACATTACACATTTTTCTGGTAAATTGTGGAGAGAAAAAAAAGAACCCTGAATTTACTTCAAGTAGACTTATTCAGGCTTAAAGGTTTTCTATAACCCTCTTGAAGACTCTTCTTTTTAGGCTTAAACTATTAGTCTTTAGACTTAAAAAATAAATTAGTAAGGAGGCTCAACCACATTCAAACCTGCAACAACAAAAATAAAATCTCCCTGCGCTGGTCTCCAGTCCTATGTCCGACATCATCCCTGAATTTGTGCGGTCTAATCAAACGCATGATTCTCAATTGGACTGTTTGGCCAGCTCAGAGTGTGAAGTGAGGAGGGGAATAAGTGGTGATGGTGGTTGGAGTAACCCTTTAATTTAGATGCTGCTTAATGCTTGATAACATCTGGTTTACTCCAAAACATTTTAATTGAATTACTACAGTTTTTGTTTTCTAAATTAACGTTTTTAGCAAATCCTATCGAACACCAAAACAGATTTGCCTATATAGGTCTAATCTCTGAAAGTGTGCCCATTTCCTCCTCATGAATATTCAAACGTGTAATTTAAAAAAATAATAATTCCATGATTAACATGGTAGCAACATGTTTTCTTTTAATGCATTTGTATAATATGTAGAGAGATTTTTATCAGGGGTGAGAGCCGTTACAGGGGTTTTCAATTTGTATTTATGTAAATGGCTTAATGTAGTTATTTTCTTTGGTTTGGCAGATAGTTAACAATATTCTCCTAATCTGGAAGGGATGAGGGTTCCATTGCTCACATTTTATGCTGATGATTAGTTTGCATCCCCAGGTGACTGTGTGCTACACGTGATTGTAGGTCATTTTGTAAGGATGAGTCATGGTTTCTTTCACAACAAACATACGATTTGTTGGATATTCCATAAGCGGTTTAGGTGTTGATATTTCATGCATCGGGATAATATGTATCCAGAGGTAAACAATGTTTTTGGACTATGTACATCTTTGGGAAAACAAACCTGACTTTTTTTACCATGTCACAAGACAGTGTAGTGTTTTAATACAATAAAACAATCTAAGATGGAATTGGATCACACTTGTGCATTAAAATAAATTTGACAACCCTATGGATAACTATAGAGTGAAAACATTACAGAATCTCAGATCCCACGGAAGGGCCGGCACTGATTGAGGCACTGGGACTAACAAATCAATGCGCAACCACAACATCATGCCCTAGACAGGGAACAGTGGAGAGCAAAGAGGCCCCAGACCACAGGGGAACCCAAGATGCTATGACCTGACTCCACACCAACTACTGTCAACTCCTGTTGAAAAACTGGGACACTTCTAATTCTACAGATGGTTTCCTTACTCGTCCCAGTTAGTTCTACCCTTAGCCATTAGACAAGTAACACATACTCCGGAGCTCTATCACCCCCGGGTTATAATCACACTACCCTCAACGGAGCTTCCTCACGACCCAAACAATTCCGTACGGACACACACACCACTTCAGAAATTGCCATAGTCAGTACGGACAGACCAACTTTACGACTCTGTTTTCCATAGACCCATCCTAGCTACGCCTTAATAAGCGAAGGCCCAAACTACACATCTAGACCACCCACAACTAGATTCAGAATAGCGAGCCACCGCACATAAATACCTGGCTTAGTCCTATACACGGGGAGTTCACCCCGGGAATAGCATCGGGACGTGGGCAACCATGAATACTAAATCAAACACATTAGACCCAGTACCCACTTCCCTCCACTAAAAACCAGGCCACGACAGCGTTGTTAGCGACCTCAGAGTAACACACACTCCTAATAACATATGTCTACATATTGTTACAACCCACTAGCCTAGTCACAAACAAAAACATGTGCTAAATGTACTTTAACTATGCCTTCTATGTAACATGTTATGCTGTTGAAAATATACCATGGCCATTGCGGCAATAAGTTTGTGTAAGCCTTATATTTTGCACTGAAAATAAAGAATTTAAAAATAAATACATTTGACAAACTTCCTTAAACAAATACTACAAGGGGCACAATTTAGCCTTGGTTTACAGAGTGCCTTGGCACAATCTCAGACATGCACTAAGTTGGGGTGGCTTACCACTGGGGACAGGGGTACAGCAATCCCCATCCTGCCTGTCACTCTTTGTATGGTGGCTGCGTGGGACCCAGTAGAGTACATTTGGGTCTTGAAGGAAGGGAGCTGCATCAATTGGCCCCTTCCTTTGGAAAGAGATTTGATAACTGTTTGTAGCTATGTGACTGTGTTGTATCTGACTCTGTGTGTGCCTGTGACCAAATGTGAGATGGTGTATGCATCTTACTGTGTGTGAGACTGTATGTATGTGGTTGTACATTTACGTGTGTTGTCTGTTTATGTAACAGTGTGCCCATGATTGCATGTCTGCGCATGTACACTGATCAGCAACAACATTAAAACCACCTACCTAATGTTGTGTGGGTCCCCCTCGTGCTGAGAAAGCCATTCTGATGCGTTGAGGCATGGACTCAACAAGACCTCTAAATGTGTCCTGTGGTATCTGGCACCAAGACATTAGCAGATGATCCATTAAGTTGTGAGGTATGGATCGGATTTGATATTCCAGTACATCCTGCTCAATCAATCAATCAATCTTTAACAGTCATGTTCTTCAAACGCATCCTGCAACACTGCAATAATTGTTGAGGAATAATTTGTGACAGACCACCTGGTCACCTTGGACTGGTACATGTCTCCCAGCCTCCACCTTCTCCTCCTAAAAAGAACTGTCACTAACACTTCTCGCCAGATCAGAGGCAAGCAGTTAACTTGAACTTCCACCTATCTTGGGCCAGCCACATTAATCTGGACGCTTTTGAACTAAGTGGGAGCGTTAAAGCTTCCTGGGGACAGTTGTATAAGGATGTGGGAACGGAAACCAAAGTTATAGTATGTTTTGTACCATGGTGCCAAAGTGTCTGGTTGCTAATTAAATTACCAGCTCAGGTACAGACAGGTGCCAGGGATGTCACAATCCTATTGTTCTCCCTAGGGACCTACTGTTGAGTCCCCAGGTATAAACGGTGACCTGCTTTTCCCAATAATCAAATTCTCGTTCAGCTTTCACTAAGTCTCTACTAATGTTTGGGTGAGACAGCTCTACGCTTTGCAGAAGAGAGCTTAATCATTCTGGGGCTATAACACACTGGCAAAGGGCGATAAAGTTGGTAGTTACCCAGCTACTTGTTGGTAGGCAGCAACAACATTATCCTGCTGAAACAGGCCACTGCCATCCGGAGACACCATTTCCATTAAAGGGTGAACATAGTCTTCAACAATCTCAAGGTAGGTGGTACATTTTAAAGTAACATCCACACGAATGTCAGAACCCAAGATTTCTCAGCAGAACATTGCCCAGAGCATAACCTCTACCTACTTCCCATAGTGAATTCTGCTGCCATCTCTTTCTCGACACGCATGCACCTGGCCATCTGCCTGGTCTATAAAAACAAACAAAAAAAACCTGATTTATCTGACCAGGCAACGTTTTTGTAGTTTAACAATCTAGAAAATAAGTGTTAAAGCGCACACACTGATTAAAATTGGTCCCTTTTTAAAAATAATTTAATAGGTCTTTTAAATATAAATGTCCTATATAACATAAATAGAAAAACACAGTGTAATCTGTTAACATTCCAGACACAGTAGTGGAATAAAATGTCACACTTTACAGAGCCCTTAAAGAATGGCTCTGAACTGTATCAGCATTTCATCTACCTTTTGGGGTAACTGGAAATCGTAGTATAGTCTTTTCTAGGATGATGTAATATCCAGAAGGACCAGGAACCAAAAGGTAAGTAGTAAAAACACTTTTTTTTCTTTTTGTGTTTAAAATATAAGCACAATGCATTTCGACCTAGTACAAGTCTTCCTCAATGCAATCTAAATCAACAATGATGCAAAGGCTATTTTATACTCAAAACAAACATACATAATTACATACAGATTAAATAATTACTCCTAATGTCTAAATATTCTTTGGACCGGATGTGTATTGCCACCACTAACATGGCGATGCATCAGTTTTCGGCCATAAAGCAAGTTCCGGCTGCCACCTCCAAGATGGCCGGACGTCAGAAGTAATGACGTGGCTCGATGTAATAGGTAGTCTTTTATGTTTGTCAACATCATGGTAGGCGGTCCGTAGTATCCTCCAATTATGCTTTCCACTTCTCTTGGCCTCAGAGTATACTGTGGCGTGCGCGTCCGGTATAGAACTACAAACATGACAGATAATCATGTTCCCATAATGCCACTTCCGCCATATTTGCAGGCAGATAGCGAAAGTTTATATACGTCCATAGTCCACATAATCCACCATATGAGGCATGGGCAAAGGAAATAAATATTTATAGTTAGTGGAGAGAAGGTAAAAGAAACAATAATAATATTATACTAAAAGAGAGAATATTCATACATTTCTCACAGTAAAAATATCACAAAAAATAATAAACCAAAGTACTAACAATATAAGGTAGTAAAAAATTGTAAAAAGTAGGAGATTGGGGAAAATGGCCCAAAAAAATAATAAAATTTGACAAAATTGAATTTCGAAGACTATATTCAAACCTTTTGGATTTAATATATGAAGAACAAAAATCCATTTTACTTCTTGTCTGAGTTTGTCAGCAATGTTTCCAGCCCTCCAATGTGTATTTACTTTTTATATAGCGTGAAACTCTAAATCTTTTGGGTCTGACCTATGTTTTTCCAGGAAGTGTTTTGACACCCTATGATTTATAAAACCGTTTTTAATATTTGTTATATGTTCACTAATTCTAACACTTAAAATTCTAGAAGTTTTACCTGCATACTGATAGCTACAATTTAATAAATATATAAAAATATTTGAGTGGCAAGTAATGGGAGATTTTAATTTATAACTTTTTAAAGTGCTATTAGATTTAAACAGTTTTATATTTCAATTACTGATATGCATATTCTTACACGCATTGCACATGCCACAAGAATAAAAACCTTTCTGGATCTCAGCCAAGTTTGATTTTTTTTTTTGTTTTTTTTAATTTTTTTTATTTAAATTTTTTACTTTTTCTATAAAACTTTGTTAAAAATGTTTGTGCCCTCCTACAAATACATTTAGGTTTAGTTCCTATGAATTTCAAAATATCTTGCTCTTGGGTTAAAATGTGGCAATTTTTATTAATTATCTTGTTAAGATTTCCTATGTGACTTGCATAGTTAGTTGCAAATGAAAGGAATGTGTTCATTATTATCCTTATTTATTGTTTTGTCTTTATATTGTTGTGACAAACTCCCCTTCCCACATGAGTTTGCTACAAGCTCTTGGAGGAGCCTGCTTGCCAGCCTCCTGCCCACAGACTATGGTCCCTGTAATATACACTGTGTATTTGGACTATATGGTTCGGGAACTGAACAGCCGCACGAACCGGAGACCACCCTGGAGCTTGTTAAGCCTAATTGCTACTTTGTAGCAATTTCCACCGCAGTGTTCTAAGTGTTCGTCTGGGTGGCTGCATTTCCTATAGACAACACAAGGTGGCGGCCATCTTGTTCGCATGAACGCAGGCAGCGGTGTCTGGTCGTCGAGTTCATGGAACTAAAAACTGACACAAACTCCCGAACACCGCTGGACTTCCAGAATCACCTGTGTTCGGTTCTACCACACTTAAGAGGACACTGTTCGGTGGAAATGTTCCCACGAACAAGGGAAACAAGCTCCAGGGTAAGAATATTGACTGTTCAATAGTTTGGTTTTAAACTACCGAACTAGACTGACCGCTAGCCCTGATCTTATAGAACTGTTTTGGGAAGGAGCCTCGTGTGTGGTCGGTCAAATTAGGACTTCCAGGAAATTCCCGAAACCCTGAATCGATCTGGGTGCTTTTTTTTTTTTATTTTTTTTTTTTTTTTTTTTTATATATATATGTTGGTCACCCAGATTGGGGCTATCAGGGGGATGTAACTTTTTAGGGTTTTTTTTTTTTTTTTAAATGTATTAAAGACTCCATTATCACTCCGGCACAAGGGAGGAGTTTGGGACTAGTCCCCTCTCAGGTCCAGGGATGGATTATCTTTGTGTGGGAGTGTCAAGTGCAAACCAAGGGTTGTGATTGAAGTGTGGTAAAGCTGTTGACTTCCTATAAGACCTGACAAACTTCTGACCTGCTACTTATTCTTTTACAGAGGGACATCAGATGTGCATGAGTTTTATTAGCTGTATAGCAGGAGGAGTGTTTTTGGCAGCCTGTCTGTTGGACATTGTTCCTGACTTCTTAAGTGACATGAAGAATGAACTTGAAAGACAACAGATAACAGTAAGTGATTTTAATGCATAAAATTTGCCTTCTAAATCAGAATTTCTTAAAATGACGCTACATGCTGAAATGTAATTCATGGTGTATATTGCATTAAAATTGGAAAAGAAAATTATGCATATATATATATATATATATATATATATATATATTTGCTTCTACAGTTATTTTTTCAATGGACTAGAAAGTCTATTTCATTTATATTTTTTCCCCTTAAGTTTTCTATAATTTTATTGTTCTGCCAAATACATACACTTACAGGTTACATTTTTCTTCTGTGTACCAGACGGACTATCCTCTTCCAGAATTTGTCATGTGCGGCGGAATTCTCCTGGTTCTCATTGTGGAACGTATTGTCCTGGAGTGTAGCCATGGGACGACTGAAGAGAACACGCCACTTATTCAAGATCACGGAAACTCTACTGATGCAGAGCAGGGGCGTCATCACTTCCACGTGGACTTCAATGCTCATTCCTCCTTCCGCTCTTTTATCCTTATCATGTCCCTTTCTCTGCACTCTGTATTTGAAGGAATTGCCATCGGACTCCAAAACGCCCAGTCAGAGGTTATGCAGATTGCTATAGCTATTCTAGTTCATAAGAGCATTATTGCTGTTAGTCTGTCTCTGCTACTGATGCAGAGCAAAGTTCGGACACAATGGTTTGTGCTTTCCATGGTAATGTTTGCACTTATGTCACCAATTGGCATCGCGATTGGCATTGGGGTGATGCAATCTCAGTCTGACGGGAGTGCCATGGTGCAATGTGTTCTGGAAGGACTTGCTGCTGGTACTTTTGTCTATATAACCTTTTTAGAGATCCTGCCACACGAACTGAATTCAAGCAAATGGAGATTACCTAAAGTCCTTTTTATTCTGATTGGGTTTTCTGCAATGGCAGCACTAAGATTTTTAGGGTGAAATGTCACCATTATTTGACATTCTGAATATTCTACCTCTCAATTTTATTGAGACCATTTGGAGGAGAATTATGTACCTCCTTCTAGAGTTTCTTTCTTTTAAAATTTTTGCAAATGCTTCGTGCCACCGGAATTATGGAAATCACCCAAATCTGAATGGACTGAAGGAGAAAGCAACAGAATTTGGCACAATCTGATTGCACTGCAGGAAAAGAAAAGCATGGTTTCCATGTGGCTTAATTTTTTTTTTTCTATTTTGTATTTTTATGCAGCTTTTTAAATAGGTTTAGTAAATACCATATTTTAATAATTTTGTCTCTGGCCAGAGATTAAACAAACCGTGCTGTATGATTAACAAACACTGTACTCTTGTATCCATGTGCATTCTATGCATAGAGTTTGACAGATCAGGGTAATCAATATTACAGGTTTCACTGGAGGAGGAGGTAACGCTTGTGTTGTAGGAATGTGACAAGTAAATTTTAAACGAGATGCTATACATTCCTGTTTTCTGCAAGTTACTTGATTGTATAGGATTTGTATGCCAAAACGCACAAAAAATGGGTTCAGTGCATACATCAGAAAAGAGTAACGTTTTATTTTTTTTAGTATTCTAAATTTGTTACCAAAGTGAAGAGGTACATATAAGTGCTGAGTTGAGGAGCTAGTGGAACGTTTACATGTTGTGGTCAGTATCCTGTAGTTTTGTTTAAGTATTCCCCTTTTAAAATATTTTCACTACAGTGTTGTAGAGTCCTGAATTCATTGTGTATTAACTGTTGACTGCACTGCTGCCATATCCAATACATTTTACAATCTGCTGCTACACATTAACTTGCCAATAAAGCAAAATCCTTAACTCTTCCTTTTAATGTACTGTAGTAATACAAAGACCTCAGCATAGGCCTGCAGTCTGGTTGAGACATATTCTGTAAAATCTGCTTCTTCGCCTACCTCTGTAATTTGTATAAGATATGAATCTGTTCATCAAATAAACCCAGAGAAATGTATGTTCTTAAAATGGAGACACAAACTGTAACTTTTTTTTCTTTCTTTTTAAACTGCTGAGTGTTATTTGCCTTGCATAGTTTATATTTGCCTGTATGAAGACTTTTTTTTTCCATATTTCACAGCAGAACAAATGACAAGTGAGACTAAAAGCAGAAGTTAGTTTTTGTTTCATGCATTTGTAGAGAACTTAGTTCCTTTATTACTAGGAGATGAAAAGTAACTGTCATGTTTCTATTTTTGGTATTTATCTGAAATCAATGAGGACTCTGCCCGGATAAGTACCCCGTAGCAAAGACACCTATATAATTATAAGAATCAAAAGTATATTCATTTGCACAATAAAAATGGTGGGGACCATTATTTAGTACATTTCCCATTATATAGAATTACATTATATACAATTACATTGTTTTATTTTATGGTGTTTTTACAGTGTGTTCTGCTCAGTAGCTGACCTTTTATTAAAAAGATTACTCCAGTTATTGTAACCACTACAGTTTGTAATTCCAGGAGAACCTGGTCTAGTTGCCTGGTAATGGTGCAAGCTGTTTAAAAACTACTTACCCCCTTACCTAGGTCCCTGCTTGTGTCAGAGGTTCCCTGGTGGTCCTGTGACATCCTTCTAGCTCCTACAGAGCTCTGGAAACTGCAGCCATTGCCATTCATTGTCAGAGAGTCGACTGAACATCGAACCAAGCCAAAGACTGACATTTTGTTCAGTGAAAGTTGTACAGAATTGCCATTAGTCAACCTGAAACTCTAGTTCCGTTTGGCTGATATCACCCTAATGACGTTACTGGAGGAAGAGTTACACCTCCAGTAATAGTGATTAAACTCTGTTTTGCAGCGTTTCGTAGTGAAACATTGCACATACAGACTCCAGGCACTATTATCACTTCATATCAGTGAAAGGTTCATGGCGCATAAAGTAACCTTTTAATCCACTCACTGCCACGAATATAGATGCATAGGTCTTGTTTTGCCTTGCCATGCAATTAACAACACAGAACAAAACCATGAGTAAAGCCCCAGTTATAGTCCCCCTACACTGTTGTGCTGGTCTTCACCTGGCAGAACAAACTAATTTTGGCACTGGTAAACCAAAACATACCAATAAGTAGGACTGAAAAATGAGAAGTCTAATAACTCTCCAAATAGGAGATAATACCACCTTGAGTAGGTATACGAAATATAATTCCAGAGATTTGGGAGGAGAATAAAAATAGGATATAGGGTAATAAGGTCAAATATAGGTTACCCTACAATATATGAATTGCACTCACAGGAATATGGATAATGTCAAACCCAATATATATAATGTGTTATATATATATATATATATATAATATATATATATATTATATATAACTGTTAGTGTTCTATGTGATCAGGGTATAAAGGGGAGACGTAGGCACAGGGGTAATGTATAAAATTAGAACAAAAAAGGCTCTCCATGGTGAACTGGCTTAAAAAGAAATATGGTTCCATTATCTGAAAAATCAAAATAGGTTTAATGATAAAAAAAATATAAAAATAAATAAGAATAATGTATAGAGGGTAAAAAAATAAAAAGGAGGAAAGAATTAAAAATATAAATTATACAAAAAAAAATGTATATAGAGATAGATATATATCTCTATCTATATATCTATCTCTTTATCTCCTTGTCAGGATGGAGGTCCCTGTACAAGAATAATTTATGCAAGGAAATAGATCTCAATGTGTATAACTAATCCTATAGAATGATTTCCAGTGGATCCAAATTTATAACTAGAAATATGTATAAAAAAAAAATAATAAAATAAAGGGGCCTATCCTAATGAGTGGAGGAACCATCTAGAAAAAAATAAAATATAATATATATATACACACAAAAACAGAACAGTTAAAAACACATTTTGGCAGTGTGAAAAAAAAAATGGAGAGATATGGTATATACACTAGTGGCTCATTGACTTAGATTAGGCCAAACAGAGCAATATCTTGGTTTAGACCAGGGCTGTCCAACCTGCGGCCTTGGCTATCTGTTTCATTGAAAGAATCATGGGCATTGTAGTTCAGCAATATCTGGGGGGCCACAGGTTGGACAGGCCTGGTGTAGACCATATTTCAAAATGTTTAGAGTGTAGATCCACTGTATCAGTTCCAATAGCAACAAAAGTCTCCCAGGTGAACCAAGGACATGTGGTACAATGTTTTGGGACACTATGTTCCTTTTCTTGTTTTTGATGTTATAAAAATGCTCTGCTAATCTGGTATGTAGTTTTTGTGTCGTCCTGCCAATGTATTGGACTCCGCACTTGCATTATCGTAAGTATATGACAAACATAGCAGAACATTGTATAAATGTTCTTGTGTCAAAAACTAGTAATGGGGGGAGAGGGGGGAGAGCAATCTAGAAACTAGAGATAGCATAAAAAGGAGATGGGCTTTAGCTCAGTATAAGGGTGGTGGAGATGGGGGGAGGGGAAAACTCAGACCAGAGTAGGTATGTAATATTGATGAAAATTCACAAAAAGTACAAATGACTCATGATAAGATTAAATGTATCCTTACTAATGAACCTGAGGCATTAGCATACACTAAACAATATGATATAATAGGCATAACGGAAACCTGGTGGGAAGAGACATGACTGGGCAGTTAACTTAAATGGGTACACGTTATTTAGAAAGGATAGGAAAAACAAGAAGGGTGGTGGGGTTTATTTATATGTAAAGTCAAAGCTTAGGCATGTGGAGTGTGACGTGGAAAATGTGGAAGCTTTATGGGTAGCTATCTGCTTGGGGCAAACGAAGGGAAATCAATTATTGGTTGGGATATGTGTAACGGATCACCTGGCACCCTGACTGGATACCTCTGTTGAAGGATGCTACTAGCGCTTCCTGAGGGCTCCAAGCACTCCAGCAGACACCAGGCACTGGACGCTACTCAGTCCTGGGAATTCTGGAACCGAATGGGGAATTAGCTCTAATCCTTACAAGGACTTTCCCCGTGGAATCTCTTGCAAGCTGGAAAAGCAGACACAGGAGCAAATATTCTTCCCTCCAATAACTGGACGACACACAGTTTGGAGTGTAAGCAGGAACAGACAGAGCTGTGGTTTTATTGCTTCTTTTATACATATCTTTACACAATGTCACCACCCACATGGTTTTGTAGAACAGCCAATCAAACATGTACAATACCGTTAAACACTCTCATTCATTCTCACAAAATCCTCCCCTCGGACCGTGATATAATTACTGTACACAATGGGTTAACATAATTATCACAGGCAGGAAAAATATACTTTTTACACATTTACTATAACTTTAAAAATGTACATCCAATCCCCATAAAAGTTACATATTATTAATCAGCACACTTCAAATATAGACATATCCAAAAATCATACAGGGGTTAAAAAGTTAGTTGGAGGTCCTTCTTGACCGACCGCAAGCATGCTTTCCTGCCCAAAATAGTTCCATAGATTTGGGCTGTGCGGTTGGTCAATTTCACTCAGAAAAATGACTAAGTCCCATTCGAATGGACGAACGGGGCACCGTTCGTGTAAATAGCTTAGTCTCACTGTGCGTTCAAATCGTTGAACGGGACTTAGTTTTCAGCCGCAGCGTCTAAGTGGAGGAGAAGGTAGGGGTCAGTGGTGTTCATGAAAATGTGTAGCTGATTTTAGTTCCATGAATTTGGCTGCACACACCGCTGACCGTGTTCGACTAACAAAGATGGCCGCCACCACGTGTTCGTCTGTACGAACGGAGGCCATCCAGCGGTCGGCAATTAACGTGCGGTTAACCGCCAGCCTGAGAGGTAAATTAGCCGCACACTTCTACTTCTGTGTGGTCCGCCTATGCAGTAATTGGTTCGGTAAGCCCCATTTACCGAACCAAATAGGAAAAAGCCACGAACCAAGTATTTTTTTTTTGAATTTGACAATTTTTATTTTACTTACAGTAAGGGTCAGGGGGAGGGTACAGAAACAGAAAGGGTTAGGTGGGGTACCAAAGGCATCACATACGTTATCACAGTTACAGTAGGTGATCATCACGGACACCGTGTAGGTTGTAGACAATATAATATATCGAGATTACACATGTATAGTGCCACAGCCTCTGAACCTTAACATGCGGTCATGGGTCACATTTGTTTGTATCGTGTGAGGCGTGGTTTTAAGGGTGCCTATCCGTGTTGATGGCATGGTTGGCCGTCTTCAGTTAAGAGAAAGGGGGGAGAGGGGAATGGTATAGGGTAGGGTTGGTGGGTGAATGTGGGTTATGTTGCGGTGAAGGTGTGGATGTGGGCTTGAGTGTCTTCTTCAGTTCCTCCAGAAGAGGGGGTTTCGCCTCTTGATTCTGGTAGTTTTGGTTTTGCATTTCAGTGTGGTTTGTTACTGTCCCATATGTTCCAAGCCTCAGTCCAGTAGGATTTGGTATGTATTGATTTTCTCGCTGCCATTTCGTAGGTTTTGGAAGTTTCTATAGCTGTGATGCACTGGCTGATCGTGGGGGCAGTGGGTTGTTTCCATTTTCTGCTTATGACGGTGAGGGCTGCTATACAGATGTGATACAACAAGTACCTGGTATGGATGTGAGGTGTTTTAGGGAGTAGTAGCAGTAGGAATAGTTCAGGTATCAAGGTGATTTGCATTTGGGTGCAGCGGGTCGTTTAGAACTTGTGACCAGAGCTGTTTCAGTAGTGGGCATTGCCACCATATGTGAAGCAGGGTACCTCGGTCGCGCTGGCAGCGCCAGCACGTGTCTGGCATATTCGGGTAGCTATGTTTTAGTCTCGTTGGTACTAGATACCACCGATACAGCAGTTTACGAGAGAGTTCTGTGTGGGATGTGCAGAGGGTTAGCTTGTTGTTGGCGTGGAAGATATTTTGCCATTGTTCGTTTGTAAGTTCGTGCCCGATATCCTTTTCCCATGCTATCCTGAAGGAGGGTAGTGTGCCTTGGGTGTTTGTGTGTTCTGAGGTATAAAGTGTCGAAATAATTTTTGTTGCCGGTTTCGTCTTTGTGCATATCTCTGTCAGTTTAAGCCAGTATGGGTCGGGTGGGCGTGCAGTTTGATGCGGTTTGTGTAGGTTAATCCATGATTGTAGCTGGATGTAGGAGAAGGTCGCTGTCGTTGGCATTTGAAATTCTTCACATAGATCTGCGAATTTTTTGAGTTCGGTACCCTGCAGCACTTGCGACAGCGTGGAGATACCATGTCTGTGCCAAAGTTTGTGATTGAAGTTCGGGATAAGGTGCTGGATCGATTCTATTGGGGTTGCTGGTGACATGGGTGATACGTTCCCCTGTTTTTTGCGGTAGTCGTCCCATAAAGAGAGAGTAAGTATTGTTGTCGGTAGCATTTCTGATGCTTTGGGTCTATGGTTCGGCGGCATCCATGCCATGGCGGGAAGTGAGATGCCTTTGGCTCTATGTTTCTCCAATTCGACCCATGTTATGGGAGTCGAGCGATGAGATGCTGCAATGAGTGGGGCAATCTGCGCTGCTCTATAATATCCTTTTACATCTGGTAGACCCATCCCCCCTTGGGCTTGTGCAGAGACCATCGTGTTTAGGGCTACTCTTGGTTTCTTGTAGTCCCATATGTAATCATTTATCGAACTTTGTAGGTCTTTCAAGTACTTGTTGGGAAGCTTAAGTGGAAGCGTGCGAAACATATACTGAATTTTTGGTAAGATCACCATTTTTACAGAGGCTATCCGGCCCGTCCATGATATATATTTGCCCCTCCAGCTGTGTAGCAGGGTTCGAATTTCTGTGAGGAGTTTGGCATAGTTGGCTTTATATAGGGAGTTCGTGGATGGTGTGAAGAGGATGCCTAAGAATTTGATGTGATCGCGCCTCCAGTCATAATTAAAGTTAGCTTTGAGGATTGGTAGTTCTTGATTTGGAATGTTAACGCCTAGGGCGAGTGTTTTTGAGATATTTAATTTGTAATAAGAGCAGGCGCTGAATTGGGAGAGGATTTTGTGGAAGTTGGGCAGGGATATGTGCGGTTGTTCTAAGGTGAGGAGGATGTCATCCGCAAATAGAGATAGTTTGTATTCTCGGTTCTTGATTTTAATTCCATGTATATTGGGGTTGTCTCTGATCATTTGGGTGAGGGGTTCTAGTGTCAGGATGTAGAGGAGTGGGGAGAGGGGGCAGCCCTGTCTGGAACCATTAGAGATGTGGAAAGGTTTCGATATGAATCCCCCGTTCACCACTTTAGCCGTTGGTGAGGAGTAGAGTGCTGTGATAAGTGCTAGAAATTGAGGGGGAAACTCGAATTTTCGGAGTACTGCCATCAGAAAGGGCCAATGCAGCCTGTCAAAGGCTTTTTCAGCGTCTAATGATACTAGAACGCTAGGGGTTTTATTCCGTTGGATCTCGTAGAGTAGATCTAGTGTTTTCTTTGTGCCGTCAGCTCCCTGTCTACCACCTACGAATCCCACCTGATCTTCCTGTATCAGTGAGGGTATGATGTGTGCTAACCTGTTGGAGAAGATTTTTGCTATGATTTTCACGTCCGTGTTTAACAGGGAGATGGGACGGAGGTTTTGGCATCTATTGGGGGGTTTCCCTGGTTTAGGGAGGGTGGCAACATGGGCCATTAGCATCTCTTTCGGCAGTGTACCTGTCAGTGTGGTGTGGTGGTATACCCTTTGTAGGTAGGGGGCTAGGAGTGGTGCAAATTGCTTATAGTAGGCATTAGTCATGCCATCAGGGCCTGGTGATTTCCCAGGGGGTAAGGAGCTAATGGTTTCTAGGATTTCTTGTGTGGTGACTTGAAGTTGAATGGCGTTCTTTTGCGTGTCAGTAAGAGTGGGCAGTTGGGTCTTCGCAAGAAATTCTTCAATTTCTATCGTGTTCGGTTGGTGTAGCGTGGGGTCTGTACGTAAGTTATATAGGGAGTGGTAATAGTCAGCCATGTTGTCGTTGATGTCTTGCGGGTTGTATATTTTGTCGCCCTTAGCGGTGATCAAGTGAGGGATATTAGAGTTGGGTTGTTGCTTTTTGAGCATTGTGGCTAGATGCTTCCCAGCTCTGTTGCCCTGGGTGTATGTTCTCAATTTCAGTTTGTTAAGAATGTGGGTCGTTTTTTCCAAAGACAGTGCGTTAAGTTGTTTGGTGATTTCTTGTATTTCTTCAGCGTAGGCGGTGGAGGGGGTTAGGAGGTGAGCTGCGGTGGTATCTCTCAGTTTTCGCAGGAGGTCTGTATGGTGTTTTTCTCGCTTACGTTTCAGGTAGGATGCGCGGCTGATTAGTAAGCCTCTCAGCACCGTTTTATGGGCTTGCCATATTGAGAATATGGAGACATCTGGGGTGTCGTTTGTCTTGAAGAAGTCTTTCAAGTTCGTTGTCAGCAGCGCTGTGAATGTTTGGTCATATAGCAGTGAGTCATTGAGGCGCCATGGTGGTTTGCCTCGATGTTGATAGGCGGAGTGTAAGGTCATTGTTATCGGGGCATGATCGGACCATACTATATTGCCAATGGCGAAGTTTTCTATGTGCGGGAGTAACGTGCCTGAGGCAAGGATATGGTCTATTCTGGAGAAGGTTTTATGTACTTGTGAGAAGAACGTATATTCTTTTCCTGAGGGGTGTTTTGTTCTCCATACATCATATAAGCTATTTTCATGGATAAGCTTGGTAAAAGCCTTGGTGTGGGACTTGAGATTATGGTGCCTTATCGACGTGTATGGGATGGTCGAATCCATATGCGTGTCCATGACATGGTTGTAATCGCCACATATGATCTTGGGGTCATTCACGCCTTCAGGGAGTTTGGCAAGAATTTTGTGTAAGAAGTTACGTTGTTGTTCGTTTGGGCTATAGAGGCATACTATGACATAGGGGTGCTCATTTATTCTGCAGTGTAGAATTATGTACCGTCCCTGATTGTCTTTTTTGACCCTTAGAGTTTCTACTGTTAGAGAGTTATGTAACAATATGGATACGCCTCTGGATTTGGAGGTGTGGGTGGCATGGAGTTGCGTGGGGTAGTATCTGAGGGCGAAGGTTGGGACTTTAGTGGAAACGAAGTGCGTTTCTTGTATGCAGACTATGTCCGCCTTGGTTCGTTTAATGTCATTGAGGAGCATGCGTCGTTTATGTGGCGTATTTAGGCCCTTGGTGTTGTGCGAGTAGATTAGCATGTTTTTTAGAGTGTGTTATGAGGTGTGAAGAGTTTGTCTGGAGTGTGTGCAGTCCGGGTTGGTTGGTGTGTGATCCTCTGTGTTGGGAGGTATTGGTGGGGGTGGATAGGTTGCGGGAGGGTGGGGAAGTGTTGTATAGGTGGGGGTGTTATGTACAGGACCTAGTGGTCTGGTACGCTATGTGTACCTGGGGGGTAGGAGCGAGAGCTTCCGGATACGTGGCTAAGCGGGCTCCTAGTTGATTTTAATAGAGTAGAGCTGAAAACATATAAATGAGGCTGGCAAACAGTGCAGCGAAACATTAGCATTAAACAATAACTTTGGTTGCAAAAGACAGACAAGGATCAGTGCTTGACCTGGCGCTATGGGGTTTAAATACTCTGAGGTGTTGCGTGTTAAGGGATCAAGGGCTCCCTCGTGGATTGTGTGAGCGTGCCCATGTACGGGTTGCCTGCTCGGGGGCAATCCCACATTCTCTCATGTGGGGCGACTTTAATACCGCATTATGTCGCTGACCCAGGTGGATATATTATTGGGCAAACCTAGCCCGCAGTGCGTACCTCTTCTGTGAACCGGGGGCCACGTAAATGTGCAAGAAGGAGATATATATATATATATATTTTTTTTTTTTTTTCTCGTGAGCTTCATGGGGCATATTATAACATTTGATGTGTCTATATTCCCTTAATAAGCATAACTTCACGCTTTAACTTGCTGTAGCAGTCATAATGCAATAGAAAGCTGGGCTTCCAGCGAGATGGTGCAGGGTAGGGAGTGGAGCGTGGCCCATGGGCATGGGCATGTTGTGAACAGACCCCGGGGGGGGAAGAGGTGGCCCATGAGTATGGAATCTGGGCCCATTAGTGGAGTCTGCCCCACGGGGCTTGCGCCCACCTCGCCCCGACCGTGTCATATAAGGCTAACATTGCCTGGTGATGGGAGTGGGGGGGTGTATGGGTAAGTACCCTCCGGGCTCGCTCCCTTTAGTCACCCGTCTTTCTCAGGGTCCCCCGGGGGTATACGCTACCCTATGGTTTGGGTCACTGCGGGTACTGGGATATAGAAGGCGGCTGGGTATGCAGGGCTCAGAGACAGCGCAAGGCAGCTATCATCTACCTACTAGAGCGCAGTGAGGTAAGCACAGGTAAGTATTGAATGATACTTGCGTCAGGTGCATTATGTCTTCGCAAATTGGTGGATCAGTCCATGGCTACATTTCGACCTGGGCGGCGTTTGTCGTGCCGCGGTTCTCCTGGTGGTTCTCTTAGTAGGCCCCATTTCTCTATCAGCTGTAATCCTTCTTCTGGGGATGATATGATGGACGTCTTCCCACTTTTGGTAAGGATTAATTTCGTGGGGAATCCCCACCGATATCGGATCCCATGGTTGCGGAGTACCGTGGTGGTCTGGGTGTAATCCCTTCTGCGACGGAGTGTAGCTGGTGAAAGGTCCGCCATGATGCGCACCGATGGGAAGTCGTCATGGGGGTCCCCTCTATTTCGGTGAGAGCGTAGGACCAGTTCCTTGATGTGGAAGTAATGGGCCCTAAGCAATACGTCACGTGGAACGGAATCTGGTAAGTTTTTGGGTTTTGACACCCTATGTATCCTGTCCACCAGGAGCATGTCCGCGGGAATGTCAGGAGCGTAGGCTCTCATCAGGCCTCTTGCATGGGCTTGCAGGTCTTCTGGCAGGACTGTCTCTGGGACTCCGCGGAGTCGCAGATTATTCCTTCGTGCGCGGTTCTCATGGTCCGCCATGCGTTCTTCCATGGCTGTCAGCTTGCGTTGTATCGCTTGTAATTGCTCTGAGGTGGCGGTTTGCACCGTCTCCATCTCCTGGTGGCGCCGTTCCATGGTGGTTGTTCTCGCCGAGAGATCCCTCACTCCCTCTTAATTTGGTCGGCGGTCGTCTGCCAGGTGGCGATCAATTTTTCTGCCATAGTCTCCATTGCCAGTTCAAAGTGGCTACGTGTCAGGCAATCCACGGGCAAAGAATCCTCCGATGGCGCTGGGGAGGGACTGGGGGCAGCATCGTCTGCGCCCTCTTGTCCGGCTACACGTGGCGGGTCCGCCGCTGAGGAGGATTTGTGGCCGAAAAAATTCATTTTTTTCGGCCTTAGAGGTGGCCTTTTTGGTCTTGGAGGTAGCCATGTGGAGTTTGGTGTTTGGCAGGTTTTCAGCTCGGGGTATAGGTTCTTTTATGCGGAGCCCTCGTGCCAGAGCAAAATCTCAGACGTCCATCTTGCTCGGCGGTTAGCCACGCCCCCCACGAACCAAGTATTTTAAAGGTCTGGGGACACAGTATTAAAGGGACATTGTTCCCAAAAGTCTCAATATGCCCCAATAACATTTTTAAAAGACCATACACCACAGGTCCATAATCTTAGGGCAAAAGGTGAGCAATCAGGCCCCTCCAGAACCCAGTGGCGAGGTCACTTTCGCCACATATCTCCCCTTTGGGGGGGAAGACTAACCAGGTACCTGACCTTTTGTCGGTCGGTGCCTGTTATTGTGGGTGGGTTGTCCGACTAACTAAAAGTACAAAAATAGCCCACCCACAACAAACGGGTGCTTGGGGGACAGAGGCCAGCTGTGCCCTGCCCTGATGCCAGCGCTTCTGCTGGGATAGCCTGGTTGGGACTTGGCTTGGGAGGGGATAGATCACTTAACCCCTCCTTCTGGTATCCCTGCGCGGGTAGTTGGGGATCTGGATAGGCTGTCCAGCATCTCTGTAGGTTGGGTGCAGAGACCACAGTCCCATCTGTACTAGGGGTCGACCGATTATCGGTTTTACCGATATTATCGGCCGATATTCGGTATTTTTGGCAATATCGGTATAGGCCAATTCAGATACCGATATTGCCGATAATATATAACAGGACCGCCAGGCTCATTACAAGCCCGGCGGTCCTGGGGGGGCCGGCAGCAAGTGTTTACTTACCTCCCAGCAGCTCCTCCAGCTCCCCAGTGTAAGTCTCGCGAGACCCGCGGCCGTCAGAGCGTTGCCACGGGTTACACTGGGGAGCTGGAGGAGCTGCTGGGAGGTAAGTAAACTCTTGCTGCCGGCCCCCCCAGAGCTCAGCCAATGCCACTGAACCACCAGGGACTGTCATATCCCCCCTCCCTGGCCAGGCAACAAGCAGGGAGGGGGACAACAAAAATAATAATTAAATATATAAAAAAAAAAAAAAAATTAATAAAAAATGCCCCCTCACACACACACACTCCATTATATACACATACACTACACAAACACACTGTATATAATGCAGTGTGTTTGTATAGTTTGTGTATATAATGCAGTGTGTTTGTGTAGTGTGTGTATATAATGCAGTGTGTTTGTGTAGTGTGCATTATATAAACACACTACATTCACTATACACACACACACTACACAAATACACACACACACTCTGCATTCATTATATACACACACTACACAAACACACACACTTTGCATTTAGTATATACGGCATTCACTTTACACACACACTGCATTCACTTTACACAAACTACCCACACACTACACAAACACTCTGCTTTCATTATATACACACTACACTAATACACACTGCATCTACTACACACACTAGACAAATACACACTGCATCCACTACACACACACTACACAAACACCCACTGCATCCACTACACAAACATCCACTACATACACACTACACAAACATACACTGCATCCACTACACACACACTACACAAACACACACAGCTCCCCTGTCTAAACACACTGCATCCACTACACGTGGCATGTATATTTTGTGCATTTACCTTTAGAAATTGTTTTTATTTTCCAAAATGGTAAATGTACAGAACTTCGGCAAATTATATTGGCTATCGGCCTGAAAGTTCACAGAATATCGGTATCGGCTCTAAAAAATCAATATTGGTCGATCCCTAATCTGTACCATCTGCGAGAATAAGGTCTCACCTTTGTTAGGTAAGCTGCCGCTGGGGAGAGAGGGTGTTATTCTCCTCTCCCTGAAGCACATGCTGCCGCTGGAGAGGGAGACCAACTGTCTCCACTCCCAATAAGTTGTCCTGCTGCTGGGGAGAGAGACCGACTGTCTCTGCTCCCTGTAGGACACACTGCTGCTGGGGAGGAAGGACGACACCTTCGGCTCCCTGGGCTGCACACTGCTGCTGGGGAGAGAGACCGACTGTCTCCTCTCCCAGGGATACACTCTGCCACTGAGGAGGAAGGACGACACCTTCAGCTCCCTGGGATTCACACTGCCGCTGGGGAGTGAGACCGATTGTCTCCATTCCCTGTAACACACTTGGTTGCTGGGGAGAGAGACCAACTGTCTCCTCTCCCAAGGATACACACTGCCGCTGGGGAGGAAGGACGACACCTTCAGCTCCCTGGGAAACATACTGCTGCTGGGGAGGAAAGACGACACCTTCAGCTCCCTGGGATTCGCAGTGCCGCTGGGGAGTGAGACCGATTGTCTCCACTCCCTGTAACACACTTGGCTGCTGGGGAGGCAGGACGACACCTTCAGCTCCCTGTTCCTCTGTCTGCCGCTGGGGATGGAGGATGCTGCTCTCCTCTTCCCGTAATTGTATCTGCCGCTGGAGTTCCTCCCAACGTGCCAGCCGGCCTTCCCTCTCTGCCCAGTATTGCAGGGTCTCGAACACTAGTTTCTTCACAAACTGCATGGATTGGGTCCGAAGAACTCCAGCCGCATTTTCATCATAGCATCAAACTCTTCCATAGTGTGGTGGTACAGCATGCTTGCTTTAGTCAGGGGCGCTGTACGGAGACAAGTGTTGCCCTCAATTTGTAAATCCACGAACGGTGTCTCTGAGCTGCTTAACCTTGCACTAGGACGCCATCCCACCGCTGCCACCAATGTAACTGATCACCTGGCACCCAGACTGGTTAACTCCGTTGAAGGATGCTCCTAGCGCTTCCTCAGGGCTCCAAGCAATCCAGCAGACACCACCAGGCACTGGACGCTACTCAGTCCTGGGAAATCTGGAACTGAATGTGGAATTAGATCTAGTCCTTACAAGGGCTTTCCCCGTTGAATCTCTAGCAAGCTGGAACAGCAGACACAGGAGCAAATATTCTTCCCTCCAATAACTGGACGACACACAGTTTGGTGTGTAAGCAGGAACAGACAGAGCTGTGGTTTTATTGCTTCTTTTATACATATCTTTACACAATGTTACCACCCACATGCAGGGGCGTTTTAGCCGCCAGGCAAACAAGGCATTTGACTTGGGCGGCAAAAAAAGCCACCCCCCAAATGCCCCAGGCAAATACCTTGTTAGCCTCGCGTCATCTTCCGGCTCCCAGCCTCACTTTGCGGCGCGTGAGGGAGCTGAGCAGACCGCTGAGGGGAAGATCTCCCTCGCCAGCCGCCCGCCCAGCAGCCAGCCCGGCAACCACTGGACCACCAGGGAGAAAGGGAACCCTCCCCCCAGCACTCCCAAAGGTAAGGAGGTTGGGGGGGGGGTAAATAAAAAAAAATCTGTTAATATGAGTGAGTGTGTGTCTGTTAATGTGTGTGTGTTTTGTTAGTGTGTGTCTGACTGTGTGTGTGTCTGCTAGTGAGTGAGTGTGTCTGTTAGTGTGTGTCTGACTGTGTGTGTCTGTTAGTGTGTATGTGTGTGTCTGACTGTGTATCAGTGAGTGTGTGTTTGCCTGTGTGTGTGTGTGTCTGTTAGTGTGAGTGTGTTTGCCTGTGAGTGTGTGTTTCAGTGAGTGTGTGTCTGTTAATGTGTGTGTGTGTGTGTGTGTGAGTTTGTGTGTGTGTCTGCTAGTGTGTGTCTGCTAGTGAGTGAGTGTGTGTCTGACTGTGTTTGTCTGTTAGTGTGTATGTGTGTGTCTGACTGTGTGTCAGTGAGTGTGTGTGTGTGTCTGCTAGTGAGTGTGTGTGTCTGACTGTGTGTGTGTCTGTTAGTGTGAGTGTCAGTGAGTGTGTGTCTGTTAGTGAGTGTGTCTGTTAGTGTGTGTGTTTCTGTTAGCGAGTGTATGCGTATCTGTCAGTGAATGTGTGTGTGTGTATTTAGAAGGCGGGGCGGGGGGAAGGGTTGGGGGGGCTTGCACAGGGGGGGAGGGGGTGTCTGAGTTTTGTCCTGCCTAGGGCAGCACAAAACTAGGATACACCACTGCCCACATGGGAGGATTTTGTGGGAATGAATGGTTTTGTAGAACAGTCAATCAAACATGTACAATACAGTTAAACACTCCCATTCATTCCCACAAAATCCTCCCCTCTGCCTGTGCTATAATTACTGTACACATGGGTTAACATAATTATCACAGGCTTGAAAAATATACTTTTTACACATTTACAATAACTTTAAAAATATACATCCAATCTCCAGAAAAGTTACACATTATTAATCGTCACACTTCAAATATAGACATATCCAAAAATCATACAATTCCCTGTAGGGGTTAAAAAGTTAGTTGGAAGTCCTTCTTGACCGACCGCAAGCATGCTTTCCTGCCCAAAACAGTTCCTTAGATTTGGGCAGTGCGGTCGGTCAATTTCACTCAGAAAAATGACTAAGTCCCATTCGAATGCACGAATTGTCGAACGGGACTTAGTTTTCAGCCGCAGCGTCTAAGTGGAGGAGAAGGTAGGGGTCAGCGTTTTTTTGTGAAAATGTGTAGCCGATTTTAGTTCCATGAATTTGGCTGCACACATCACTGACCGCGTTCGACTAACAAAGATGGCCGCTGCCACGTGTTCGACTGTACGAACGGAGGCCACCCAACGGTTGGCAATTAACGTGCAGTTAACCGCCAGCCTGGGAGGTAAATTAGCCACACACTTCTACTTCTGTGTGGTCCGTCTATGCAGTAATTGGTTTGGTAAGCCCCATTTACCGAACCAAATAGGAAAAAGCCACGAACCAAGTATTTTAAAGGTCTGGGGACACAGTATTAAAGGGGCATTGTTCCCAAAAGTCTCAATATGCCCCAATAATAGTTTTAAAGGGCCATACACCACAGGTCCATAATCTTGGGGCAAAAGGCGAGCAATCAGGCCCCTCCAGAACCTAGTGGCGAGGTCACTTTCGCCACAATATGTTATAAACCAGATAATGTAAATATTAATGAGGAATGTAGAATATTGCATATTCTATATGTTCCTATTCAAATACATATTAAGGTGTGGTTGTCTAATGGGTTAAACAGAACAGATGGTGTTTGCTATTCTGTACCATGAGGTCTCTGGAATTTGCTGTATAAGAGATTTGAGGTGGTCTTTATATAGGGAACTTCCTTATATGGCAGAGTCTAAACTAAACGTTATGACGTAATTTGGGCTATATAGAGCCAAGGACAAAGGTCTCTCCATCTCCTTTGTTAACCCTGCAAAAAGTGCTCTGATTGAATGTCCTGGGAGCAGGGCCGCCATCAGGGGGTGACAACCATAATGGTTATCACTGGCCTGGCGGCCCTGGGGGCCCGGTCAGCGCTGGCCTCACACTTAGGGCCACCCGATGGGCCCTATATCTTCAGGGGCCCGGTCAGCGCTGTGGCCGTGGTGTAGCGCGACAGGGCCCCTTTAAAAAAAAAAAAAGCAGCCACAAGTGCTGCTGGGAGGAAGTGGTCACTTCCTCCCAGCTCACTCCACGCGGGAGGAGCACGCGCGCCAGTGAAGAGGGAGAGCCAGGCAGTGAAGAGGGAGCCCCGCCGACTCCCATCATCCCCAGTCACCCTCCTGCAAAGAAAAGGTAAGAGACAGGAGGGTGGCTGGAAAATGAGCTGTGTGTGTGTCTGTCTGTGTATGTATGTCTGTATGTCTATGTCTGTATGTCTGTCTGTATGTATGTATGTCTATGTCTGTCTGTATGTGTATGTATGTCTGTATGTATGTCTGTCTGTATGTATGTATGTCTGCCTGTATGAATGTATGTCTGTCTACATGCATGTATGTCTATGTATGTATGTCTGTCTGTGTATGTATGTATATATGTCTGTCTGTTTGTCTATGTGTGTATGTATGTCTGTCTGTATGTATGTAGCTTGGTGCTACTTCTAAGTGCTGTTTCTAAGTGTGTAGTTGGAGATATTCTGGAGAGTTTTACAGAAGCTTCAACTGTCTAAGAGTTGTGCTAAGAGCTTTCTTTTCTATTGTTACAGGTAAGATTCATCTGTAGGAAAAGGTTACTGATTGCACAAGGTTTGAATTCCTGTTGGTAATTATAAGGCATTTGATTTGATTAAGCTAGTTACTTGCTGTTGATTGCTGATTAATTAGCTATTGTTTGCAAATAAGCAGAGGCCTACCCAGGTGTTAAACATTCCTAGTGGGCGGTGATTTTAGGAGTTATATAAGGCCTGGTTCCATTAGCTTGTCTAATATAGCTTGGTGCTACTTCTAAGTGCTGTTTCTAAGTGTGTAGTTGGAAATATTCTGGAGAGTCGTACAGAAGCTTCAACTGTCTAAGAGTTGTGCTAAGAGCTTTCTTTTCTACTGTTACAGGTAAGATTCATCTGTAGGAAAAGGTTACTGATTGCACAAGGTTTGAATTCCTGTTGGTAATTATAAGGCATTTGTAACTGTTACTGTAGGATCTGGTAGACTTAGAGTTGTGGATAAAAGGCATTTTGCACAGTCTGTTGCTCTTCATAATTCATTTTCTGCACTTTCAGAGTGTAATGGTGTTGTGGAGAGAGGCACTGAGGCTAGTGGTGTTGTGGAGAGAGGCACTGAGGCTAGTGGTGTTGTGAAGAGAGTCACTGAGGCTAGTGGTGTTGTGGAGAGAGGCACTGAGGCTAGAGGTGTTGTGGAGAGAGGCACTGAGACTAGTGGTGTTGTGAAGACCGGCTTGGAGACTATGGTGAGGCCTAATAGAAAGCAGTTGTTGTTGGGTGATTCCATTATAAGAGGTGTGGAGATGGACAATGGTGGTCTTGTGAGGTGTCTTCCCGGAGCTACTGCTCACAGAGACAGGAGACGTATCTGTAATATTGTTGAGCAAGCAAAGCAGGAAGGGGAATTGGATGTACTTGTCCATCTAGGGACAAATGACTTGGCTTGCAATGAGGTTTCAGAGGTTAAGGAAGTTTTTAGTGTTTTGCCAATGATATACGGCAGGTTGCTTCCACACTGTCATTCTCTGAAGTTCTGCCTGTGCATAACACTCAGAACGACAGGCGGATGCGTATTAGGGACTTTAACTTGTGGCTTGGTGAATGGTGTCGGGAGCAAGGATTTGGCTTCATTTCTCATGGTAGCTCTGTTTGGAATGGAAATAAACTGTACAAAAAAAGATGGTTTGCATCTTTCTCAAAAGGGAACAAATGTTCTCAGTGAGCAGTTCAGAGGTTTTGCAAGGATGTATTTAAACTAGAGGGGGGGCAAAAGGGGGATAAAACATCAATCCAATTGTCCCCCAAAACAAGGACAGAAGGTGCCTGTAGCAAGTGTGTTAAAAAATGATAAGCTTAGAGTCATGTCTACAAATGCCCGCAGTTTAGGGAATAAGATCCATGAACTTGTGGCAATAATGGCAACTGATAGTGTAGATTTAGTCGCTGTTACTGAGACATGGTACAATGAGAAAAATGACTGGGACATAGCAATACCAGGGTACTCTTTATATAGGAAAGATAGGGAAGGCAAGAAAGGGGGAGGGGTGGCCTTGTATGTGAAGGATAGCATAAAATCTAGCCTAATAAAAGTTAGTGAGGCAAACATAGAGTCCGCTTGGGCTACGTTAGAATTTGGTAATCACACAGTAACTCGTGTAGGTGTGATTTATAGGCCCCCAGGACAAATTGAAGAGTTAGATAATCTACTATTTGAGGAAATAGCTAAAATGACAATGAAGGGGGAAGTTATCATCATGGGTGACTTTAATCTTCCTGATGTAAATTGGAAAACAAAATTAGCTACTTGTGCCAGGAGCACACATATTCTAAACTCCCTACTGGGATTGTCTCTAAAACAAGTTGTTGAGAAAACAACTCGTAAAGAGGCCATACTAGATTTAGTGTTAACAAATGGAGATTTGGTATCAGATGTTACTGTAGGTGAAAGTTTAGGATCCAGTGATCATCAGTCAGTGTGGTTTAATATAAGAACAGTGACTGAGTCACACCACACAAAAACAAAAGTTTTAGACTTTAGAAAAACAGACTTTTCTAAAATTAGAATATGGGTAGAGGAGTCATTATCAGACTGGAGCAATTTAAATGGAGTCCAAGAGAAATGGGATTATTTAAAAGTTGCACTATTGAAGGCAACAGAAAATTGCATTAGGCTTGTCAGTAAAAGCAAAAATTCAAGAAACCACTGTGGTACTCCGCAGATGTGGCCAAAATAGTTAAAAACAAAAAGTTAGCATTTAGGAATTATAAAAAAAACCAGAGTGAGGAAGACAAAATGATCTATAAGATTAGGCAGAAAGAGGCTAAGCAAGTTATAAGAGCTTCCAAATCACACACAGAAGAGAAAATAGCACAGTCAGTAAAAAAGGGGGATAAAACATTTTTAGATACATAAATGAGAAAAGAAAAGTAAAACAAGGATTAGTTAGATTAAAAACAAAAGAAGGAAGGTATGTAGAAGAGGATAAAGGTCTAGCTGACTGCCTCAATTAATATTTTTGTTCTGTATTTACAGATGAAAATGAAGGAAAGGGACCTCAGTTGAAAAAAAGGATAAATGAGTCATTTATTACACGTGAGTTTACAGAGGAAGAGGTTCTATTTCAACTGTCAAAAGTAAAGACAAATAAGTCAATGGGACCTGATGGAATACACCCAAAGCTATTAAAAGAGCTTAGTGGTGTACTAGCAAAACCATTAACAGATTTATTTAACCAATCATTGTTACCAGGAGTAGTCCCAGAAGATTGGAAGTTAGCGAATGTTGTGCCCATTTACAAGAAAGGTAATAGGGAGGAGTCGGGCAACTATAGGCCAGTAAGCCTTACTTCAGTAGTGGGGAAAGTGATGTAAATCATGTTAAAGGATAGGATTGATGAACATCTAAAAACACATGGATTTCAAGATCAAAGACAACATGGGTTTACTTCAGGGAGATCATGCCAAACTAATCTTATTGATTTTTTTGATTGGGTAACTAAAATTATAGATCAGGGTGGTGCAGTAGACATTGCTTACCTAGATTTCAGTAAGGCTTTTGACACTGTTGCACATAGAAGGCTTATCAATAAACTGCAATCTTTAAGTTTGGATTCCAATATTGTTGAATGGGTAAGGCAGTGGCTGAGTGACAGGCAACAGAGGGTTGTAGTTAATGGAATATATTCGAAGCTTGGACTTGTCACCAGTGGGGTACCTCAGGGATCTGTACTTGGACCCATTCTCTTTAATATTTTTATTAGTGATATTGCAGAAGGTCTTGATGGTAAGGTATGTCTTTTGCTGATGATACTAAGATATGTAACAGGGTTGATGTTCCAGGAGGGATAAGCCAAATGACAAATGATTTAGGAAAACTAGAAAAATGGTCAGAATTGTGGCAACTGACATTTAATGTGGATAAGTGCAAGATAATGCATCTTGGATGTAAAAACCCAAGGGCAGAGTACAGAATATTTGATAGAGTCCTAACCTCAACATATGAGAAAGGGATTTAGGGGTGATTATTTCTGATGACTTAAAGGTAGGCAGACAATGTAATAGAGCAGCAGGAAATGCTATCAGAATGCTTGGTTGTATAGGGAGAGGTATTAGCAGTAGAAAGAGGGAAGTGCTCATGCCATTGTACAGAACACTGGTGAGACCTCACTTGGGAGTATTGTACACAGTACTGGAGACCGTATCTTCAGAAGGATATTGATACCTTAGAGAGGGTTCAGAGAAGGGCTACTAAACAGGTTCATGGATTATGGGATAAAACTTACCAGGAAAGGTTAAAGGATCTTAACATGTATAGCTTGGAGGAAAGACGAGACAGGGGGGATATGATAGAAACATTTAAATATATAAAGGGAATTAACACAGTAAAGGAGGAGACTATATTTAAAAGAAGAAAAACTACCACAACAAGAGGACATAGTCTTAAATTAGAGGGACAAAGGTTTAAAAATAATATCAGAAAGTATTACTTTACTGAGAGGGTAGTGGATGCATGGAATAGCCTTCCAGCTGAAGTAGTAGAGGTTAACACAGTAAAGGAGTTTAAGCATGCGTGGGATAGGTATAAGGCTATCCTAACTATAAGATAAGACTAGGGACTAATGAAAGTATTTAGAAAATTGGGCAGACTAGATGGGCCGAATGGTTCTTATCTGCCGTCACATTCTATGTTTCTATGTGTATGTATGTATGTATGTCTGTATGCATGTCTGTCTGTATGCATGTATGTCTGGCTGTATGCATGTCTGTCTATGTCTGTCTGTCTGTATGCATGTATGTCTATGTATGTATGTATGTGTATGTATGCATGCATGTCTGTATGTATGTCTGTATGTCTATGTCTGTCTGTATGTATGTATGTGTATGTCTGTATGTATGTGTCTGTATGTATGTATGTGTATATCTGTATGTATGTCAGTATGCATGCTTGTATGTATGTCTGTCTGTATGTCTGTATGTATGTATGTATGTCTGTATGTATGTCTGTATTCATGTATGTCTATGTATGTCTGTCTGTCTGTATGTATGTATGTATGTGTATGTATGCATATCTGTATGCATGTATGTATGTATGTCTGTCTGTATGCATGCATGTCTGTGTGTATGTCTGTATGTATGTATGTCTGTCTGTATCTCTGTCTGACTGTATGCATGCATGTATGTCTATGTATGTATGTCTGTCTGTATGTATGTCTGTGTATGTATGTATGTATGTATGTGTATGTCTGTATGTATGTATGTATGCATGCATGTATGTCTATGTATGCATGTCTATGTATGTATATATGTATGTCTGTATGTCATTATATATGTATATATGTATGTCTGTATGTCAGTATGAATGTATGTCTGCATATCATTATGAACATATGTCTGTGTATGTGTGTATGGATGTCTGTATGCATGTATGTCTGTCAGTATGTCTGTATATATGCATGTATGTCAGTCTGAATGTATGTATGTATGTATGCCATTATGAATGTATGTCTGTATGCCATTATGAATGTATGTGTGTATGGATGTCAGTGTCTGTATGTCTGTCAGTATGTCTGTATGTATGAATGTATGTGTGTATGTATGTGTGTGTATGTATGTATATCGGTGTCTGTATGTATGTATGTATGTGTCTTTATGTCCTCATGCATGTGTGTCTGTATGTATGTTAGTATGTGTCTGTCTGTCACTATGTATGCCTGTGTGTATGTCTCAGTATGTGTGTGTCAGTATGTATGCCTGTATGCGTGTATGTCTGTTTCAGTATGTGTGCCTGTTAGTATGTATCTGTGTCCTTTTGTATCAGTGTGTGTGTTTGTGTCTGTGTGTGTATTCCTGTGGGCGACATTTGGAGATGGACCCAGTGGGCGGTATTTGGAGGCGGGCCCCATGGGGCCCAGACCCTGAGCTGAGTTAGGGGCCCCAAAATTTCTGGTGGCGGCCCTGGATGTGAGTTATGCCTTGTGTCTGCACCTGCACACTCGAGCATATAACAGAAAAATCCTATATCTGTGCATGCTATTTTCTGCAGGAGTGCTGTACATGTGCATGGCTTTGCGTTAGTTGATGAATTAACAATAAGAATTATAACTAAATTTGCACAAGCTCACATCCAAAATGCCTGCTGCATTACCCCAAAACTGGAGTCTCTTCAAATTGTTTGAATTAGCCGAACTATTACTTGCTGTTGCCATGAGTATTTGCTGCATGTGTAAAAATTGTAGACACTTGCAGTGACATATTTAAATGTACTAGATAGGACTGCTAAGCATTTAATAAGTGTATTTTAAGATATATTCACTAGATGGCGCTCCTTCCATTGGAAAATGAGATCATCTGATGCTATTATAAACAGCAGTTTGGCATGTGACTGGCCATGCCACATTTCCAGTAGTTGAGTTGCACTTGTCTGGAATTTACACCATTGAATATTACCTATAACTCGTGTTAATCCTTTTCATATGATGCTCTATTTTGTTTTTATTGTATATTAAAGGTTTAGCAGGTGACATTTCTGTTCAGTCCAGGTACAGCCAGGGTTTCTTACTGTGTTTGACAGCCAAGCGAGAGGTACCAGGTTTCTGGACAAATAACATTTACTATATTGCTACAGTGGCACCTGTCTAGGGGGTGAGAAATTTTAGGCAGCAAGTGAGCAGCAAGCTCTTTAAAGTCATGTGTTGGGCGGGCAGGCGGGTGGAAATTTGATAAGTGCGTCTA